TATCTTCCGTTGGGTGTAAAATGAATGAAAATGGACAAAAAAGACAAACTGTGGGTTAACTTATAAAATCATGCATTTTTAAACTCCACATGATTATTTGTTATTTAATCAAAATGAATGAAAACGAACAAAAATCGTGGGTTAGTAATCATGAAATTCATGAATTTTGAACGCACCGGTTAATTATTTGACACGGTCAAAACGAAGAAAAATGGACAAAAATCATGGGTTATAGCTCATAAAATCGTGAATTTTGAACTTTGCAAAATTATTTGCATTTGGTCTGAATAGAAAAAAGGGACAAAAATCGTAGGTTATAGCCCATGAAATCATAAATTTCAAACTTTGATGATTATTTGTTATTTGATCGAAATAAATAAATATGAAAAAAAATCATAGGTTATAGCCCATGAAAATTGTGAATTAGAATTTTGGTCAATTATTAGCTAGTGGGTCGAAACAAATCAAAAACGTTAAACATTGTAGGTTATAGCTCATAAAATCGTCATTTAAACTCCACAAATTATTTGTCATTCCAACCTAGTGGTAATTAAGTTTTTTTTCTAGATTCTCAATTTTCATGGGCTGTAATCCCCACTTTTGTCCATTTTCAATTGTTTCAACCCTATAGCAAATAACTGACATACTTCAAAACTATAAAGTTTTATTGGCTATAAACCATTATTTTTGTCCATTTTTATTTATTTTGAGTCAATGACAATTAAGTTTTTCTTAAAAAATTCGCCTTAATCTATAATTTTCATGTTTCGCCCTAATGGCAATTGATTGGGATACTTTAAATTTGCAATTTTATGAGCTATAATCCACATTTTTGTCCATTTTCAAAATGTTCTGACACAATGGCGATTATGTTTTCTTTCTTCAAAATTCACGATTTGGAAAGGTTAACCCACCATTTTCATCTGTTTCTGCTCAATGTCAAATAAGTAGCATAGTTCAAAATTCTTATTTTTAATGGGTTATATAACCCACGATTTTTTTAGCATTTTAAGTCATTCTGAGACAATGTCAACAAAGTGCCAAACTCCAAAATTTGTAATTTTCATAGATTATGACCTGTAATTTTTGTCCATTTCTAATTGTTTCAATCCATAACAATTATTTTTTTTCCTTGAAAGTCATGATTATCATGGGCTATAACTCCCAATTTGGTCCATTTCCAGTTGTTTCCACCCAATGGCAAACTGGCATACTTTGAAATTTTTAGTTTTTATGAGCTATAATCTATGATTTTTATCCATTTTTAATCGTTTCAACCAAACGACAATAAATTGTCATACATAAAATTCACAATTTTCATGTGCTATATAACACCATGATTTTTGTAAATTTTCACTCATTTTTACCCAATGACAATTAGGTTTTCATTCCTTAATTCACGATTTTGTGGAATATGACCCATAATTTTTATTTATTTTGTCCTAATAACAATTGATTGACGTACTTTAAAATTCATAATTTTCAAGGGCTATAACCCACAATTTTTGTTAATTTTCAGTCATTTCAATATAGTGGTAATTTACTTGGGCTATTATCCCTAGTTCGTCCATTTTCATTGAGTGAACGACTAAAACTGGATATATATCGGGTTATAGCCCATGAAAATTGTAAAATTTAAGTGTGCTAACTAATTTGTCATTAGGATGAAACATATAAAAATGTACAAAAAGCGCAAGTTAGCCTATGAAAATCATGAATTTTGAACAGAGAACTAATTTGTCATTGACTCGAAAAGAACAAAAATGGACAAAAATCATTGCATATAGCTCAAAAATTAGAATTTTGAAGTAAATTGATTATTTGTCATTGGATGAAATTAGATAAAAATGGACAAAATCATGGGTTGTAGCCCATGAAAATTATCATTCTTAAGCGGAAAAAACACTTAATTGCTGCTAAGTCAAAATGGCTTAAAATGGACAAAAACCATGTATTACAGCTTCTAAAAATTGCTAAATTTGAAGTACAGCAATTTGACAGAAAGCTGAGCGAAGCAGTGAGGCGCTACTTAGGCTTTTTGAGTCTAGCAGATCAAAGCGGAGAAAACAGGAAGTAAAAAAGCGATCAGGTTTAAATATGGATAAATATTCAAAATAAGAAAATTTCAAGAAAAATCTAAAAATTATACAATTTCATATTTGAAGATTTATGGAGATCCTAAGCATGAACTAGATGTATAACAATCACGCAAAATTAATCAAGTAATGGTGCTTCGACGAGGCTTTGGAGAAGAGGGAGCTAAAAACTGAAGCTTCGATGTGCTTGCTAGAGAAAATGAGAGACTCATGAGAGGGCGCGGAGAATGGTAGGAGGTGGCAGGAGAGGAGTTGGAGGCGACAGGATAAGGAGTTGAGGCGACAGTGGATTTTTAAAGGCAGAATTAGTGGCAAAAGGTGGCAAATTTAGTGGCTGGCAGTGGTATAAGTAGAGGATGATTAGGGATCTTAGGGTTTTTTTTGGAAAAGAGAAAGGAATAGTTGATATGATGGGTTTTAGGTGTTTTAAAGCACTATCAAATGTTTTTAAGCGCTTTGCACTGCTTATTCATGCTTTGCGAGCAAAAAAAACGAGTGGGCTTTATGTCACCACTTTGAGGGAAAGCATAGCGACGAGGGCTGCTTCCGCTTTATACTGCCGCTTCTCACAACTTTTTGCCTTTTATTAGCAGTAGGCATGTATTATAGGAACAAGAGGAAAGTAAACGAGTTAGACTTTGATTCAAACCAATCCATAACTTAATAAGGACCTTATCATACTTCAAATAACTCATGTCATAATCATTATTATTATAGAAGTCATTTCTTTATTTTATATTTCAAAGACAGGATCAACTTTTTTGCCTAGTGGGACAAAGATTTATTTGTCCTTTTGAAAAATAAAGAACTAAAAATATGCTTGATGCAAGACAATTGTTGGCTGTTGATTAGAAAATTACAAGATTTACCAGAATCTCTTTTATTTTTATAATATTTGATGTAATCTCCATTTTTTAGACAAGATTTCCTAAGGATTTTATGATTTTTAGGATCTTTGAGATTTTAATTTGTTAGAGATTTTATTTTTGTTTCCCTTTTATTAGAATTTGATTTGCTTTCTAGATTTAGTTTTCTCTATATATAAAATTGTAACCCTCAATAAAGAATTAGACATTGATTAATAAAATTTTGAGTTTTGAGCATTCTCTCTTGAGCATGTGAACTATCATTTGGCATGTGAATTACCTCTTTGGGGTGTGAAGCGCTTGGGTATGAGGCCCCTAGGTGTGAAGCCTAACATCTATCAGAACCCTCTCTCTTTCCAATTATCCTTCTCAATCAATCCCTCCAAAAGAATCCACAACATCCAACTCAAGCCAAAATACCCAAAGAAACCCTAAACCCCAAAACCGGATCACTGTTCACATATGATCAATGCTTGCCTCCTATCAAGGAGCCCTCCTTCGCTACTCACAACAAATTTCCAATGAGTTACCGCGATCATATTGAGTATCATCGACACCGGATCTCCAATCAGCCTCCATTCAGTTACGACATCACCCCACCAAGCCCACAGCGATTTCTCTCATCTGGTAAAGCTTTGCCAAGGCCTTAAAATGATATTTGATGTCCATTTAGGCCCCAACAAATATCCGAACATGGCTTTGGAAAGCTATCATAGACTTAAAAATCTACCCGCTTCTCCTTTCAAATCCCGATTACATTTAAATAGCCACCAAATTCAAACAATCAAGAATGTCGTACTTTCTGATCAGATTTGGATTGGCGTCGAAGGCAACACATTTAGGAGCCATCTACTTTTGGAATGGAGCTTCCGCCTCGACCCACGTCAATGTTTTTTGCCATTCGAATATACACATCAACTCTCAAATTCATAAATTAGATTGAATCTAAGAACAATAAAGTAGATTGGATCTAAAAACATTACCAACCCTTGCGTTTCTGACCTAGAATCTATCTAAAAAAATACAATATAAATAACTAACAAGAAAACTAAAGCCTTAAGCTGCAAAAAAAAACACCTTAAGTATTTCAACTCTGATCATGTTAGATGATCAAGAAAACTCTAAAACACCATACTTTGTAGACGTTCTCTTCAATTAGCTAACTGGACTAAAATTGCCATAAATATGTTTTAGACTCAAACAACCAGATAGTACTAGCATACTCACATCTTCATGAAATAACACACAGTCTGAACAAGCAAGAAAAGACAGTTTAAGGTAATTGCAGTAGAATATAATTATAGCGATAAAACATTTTAAACAATTCCAAAAGAACAATCTATCTTAATAGCAACAAGCCAACAACTCAACAATGATAGCTTCAATTAAGGAAAAATGCAAGATAACTGGTTGAGATGGTGCAGACATAGGCAACATGTGCCATTAAGTGGGACAATAGACATGGATCTGTAAGATAGACAAAAATAATTCACATGTACTGGGATAGTTTAAGACTATTGTCATTGTTAACAATTAAGGTGGTCCTTAACTCGGTTGAATGGAGAATATGATTGATAAGGATTTCCCATAAAAAGCTTTACTGTCTTTCTTGATGTTAATGTAACACGAGAAAAGGAACCTGATGTATCATGTGCTAACTGTCCTTTCTTCCAATCCTTCAACACTATTCCTTGCATACTATATGGTTATAGTATCATTTCCAACAAATCAAAACCTTTTGCATATTAAATGTATCTCGTGCACAATCATCGATTTTAGAACTAATTCCTCTAATAAGAGGAAGAACTTCTTGAAACATTCGCAACAAAGAACTACAATTTTTCACCTAATGTGAGAATGGCCCCTCTCTCTCAACCCCTCCACTCTCAATTTCCTTCTCAATAAAAAGAAACCCACTATTTTACTCTACCTTGTCTCATTCCACTGAGAAAATTGCCCTAGAATTGATCATTTGAGCTAATAAAATTAAAATGCTACCAAGAATCAAAAATCACGAGAAGAGATTCGAGGGTTTTACCGCTTGCAGAGCGAGAGAAGGCTTGCCCTGATCGATGAGCTGGCGAGCCGTGGAGAGCATCGACCACGCGCTCTCAAAGGCCTGAGCTTGCTGCCCTCGGGCATCGCCGGCGCCGGCGGTGCTGGGGCCCGCGATCGCCGCGTCGGTCTCCATGGCGTCCGATGTCGACGGATAGGGGTTCATCTTCTTCTCTTATGACGAGCTTCGAAACCCTAAATTATTTCTCTTCTTGACTTTTTTTTTATTAATTCCCCCCCAGTGAAGTGAACTGAGGTCTTTTCTTGCTGATAGAAATGCCCTCGGATTGTTCTAGTAGTTTCTCTTGGTTTTGATGATGATTTGGGTGTCTCTCTCCCAAGTTATCCTAGGAGAATAAAAAATTGAAAATTTACTTTTTCACCCTTAAATATTCTTTCATTCCGTATCAGATCCCCTAAATCAGTATCTGACACTGTTTATTTGAATTGTTTTCAATTGTGCTTGATTAATTTATAATGTTAGTGTGCAGCTCGTGCAAAAGCACGGCCCCTTTTTTTACTTCCGCTAGAGTAATTCTATTTTAAATGCTATAGTTTTTTGTAAAGGCACCGGTACTATTTTTAAATGCTACAGTATCACTTTGTTCTACAATAATACTGCTACAGTAATTGCCTTCAGCATTTTACTGTAGCACGAAATAGTGAATCTTTGAATCCTCCTCTAATGAGTATAGAGGAATAGATTAACTTTCTCCGCTCTCCTCTTTCATCCTTGGCTAATAAGTAGCGTTCTAAAATTTGTAAATTCATTACTTTAAATTTTAATTAACTAAATATAATTTAGTCATCTCCAAACGGAGTAATCGCTTTAATGGAATATTCTAATTTAATCATCTAAAAATTAAGATGAAGGATAACATTAAAATATTGACTAATGATTAATTTATAATATTAGTGAGCGACTCGTGCAAAAGCACTGCCCCTTTTTTTGTTTCCGCTAGAGTAATTCTGTTTTAAATGCTACGGTTTTATGTAAAGGTATAGGTATTATTTTAAATGCTACAGTATCACTCTGTGCTACAGTAATACCGTTACGGTAATTCGCTTTGGTATTTTACTGTAGCATAAAATAGTAAATCTTTGAACCCTCCTCTTATGAGTATAGAGGAATAGATTAACTTTCTCCACTCTCCTCTTTCATCCTTGGCTAATAAGTAGCGTTCTAAAATTTGTAAATTCATTACTTTAAATTTTAATTAACTAAATATACTTTAGTCATCTCCAAACGGAGTAATCGCTTTAATGGAATATTCTAATTTAATCATCTAAAAATTAGGATGAAGGATAACATTAAAATATTGACTAATGATTTAAAGGGCGAATGGATAATTTTTTGTACCGAGAAAACCTTGGTATCGGATATTCCTTTTACGGAATGAGCGCATAGTTTTAATGCTGAGCTCAAATAAATCAAGTGCAAGCAGTCATATGGTTATGACTTTTCTATTTTCACAACAAAGGCTAACCCCCAAGTATTGGATGGAGGAAATTCCTAAAGTAACTCGGATTGTATTTAGTCCGGCGACTAAGTTGAATTGAGCTAGGTTCCACCTAAACGAAGTCCTCACATGAAGCAATTAAAGTTTGAGATGGGTGATAAAAGAATATTTATGATAACTTGGATAAGTTTTATAAAATTTATAAATATTTATGATAACTTGGATAAATTTTATAAAGAAAAGCTCTAAAAAGCGTAAACAGTAGCAAAAATAGAGAGAAAATTGGCTAATTTAACATTACTCCTTGAACTTAGGGTGTCTCATATGACCCCCTAACTTTATTTATCTCACTTAATCCCCTTGAATTTTTTGATGTATTAAAAAAAACCCCTACATTTTAATAATTCTTTCACTACACTCATTGCTTGTAATTTACAAATAAATAAAATATTCTTGAAAGCGAAGATGTCATAATTTGTCATTTTTTATTCAAAGGCAACCTACCTCTACTTTAAATTTTGTAATTGTTTTCTAAAGAAAATTTTAATTATTTGCAAAATTAATGTAAAGGGATCCGGTGAGAAATATTCAAAGCTCGGAGCCCAAAGCTTAAGGGGTTGTGTGAAACACACTCCGAATTCAGGGGGTTTATGTGAAATTAACACCAAAGGAAATTTACCCTCTGTGAAAAACCTTTGGTAAAACTTATTATTAAAGACACACACAAACATCAATAGAACACACGAGAACATAACAGAAAAAGAAAAAAAGAAAAGATTTTTGCCGTCTCTTTCGCCATGAAGCAGAAGAAGTCCAAACCCAAGAAGCCCCAAACCAAAAACTCTGTAAATTTTTCTCTCTTAATCTCATGATTCAATAATATTTGAAGGGGCCAATGCAATTCTAGTAAGCCCGACAATTTATTATAGTTATTATTCTGTTGTTCTAGGGTTTCAAGAAACCTATTTGATGTTAGTTTATTGTCAGTCTTATATAAAGCTTCTCTTTTATCCAAACTCGAGCTAATCCAAATCTACATGAAATAGTTTGGTTTATAGATTGATAGATTTTATTACTTGCATAAATTATATGCTTGCGTTTTTGGATTTTTTTTTTAACTCTGTTTAGTATCGCACGGAAAAGGGTTTGAATTTGATTCTGATGGTGTAAAGTTAACCTATTGTTAACTCTGGAAGAGATAGGAGAGAAGAGGATGTGCAGCTTTGACCTTGATTGACATCTTAAGGTTTTTTCAATCTGAAATCGATGAATAAATATGTGTAAAGTTGCTTTGCACACTAAATCTGTGACACTTGGGGACAGTTCGTCATGCCCAAATTATCGGCTAAAATCACTAGGATATGCTGTTCATTGTTTTTAAACTTAAAATTGATTATTGAGTACTCTAGCCTATAGTTTTCTTTAAGTGTAATTGTGTATTTATGATAAGTATATCATGTTGAGGTAAAGAAACATGGAAAGCAGGCTGATTTAGCACAATTTCGCTCACAACTTGATGACTTGGGTTTAAAAATTATTCAAGTGACGGCGGATGGAAATTGCTTCTTCAGGTATGTGGAAAAGTCAGTCTCTTTTTTTTAAAAAAAATCCAAGCTCCAAATGCATTGTTGTGCGCTGGCACTACTAATTTATATTTTTGTTGAGTGTACATTAATACACCATGCCTTAACTGAACAATGCAGTTTGCTTGAGATGCTCTGCAGGGCTATAGCTGACCAGCTGGAAGGAAATGAAGAGGAACATGCAAAGTATCGCAACACGGTGGTACAGTATATCTTGGTATGTATATCTAGATAAATGTCGTGCACTACAACCAGCAGTATTATAATCTTTTGTTAGCATAAGCAATTAAGCACAAATAGTACGAATATTAACACAGGATGTAGGTCCAATAGAACATGGATTCACGAGCGAACCCTAAAAAGTGGAATACAAGTATGATATACAGATGATAATGAATAAACTATGTGTGCTTGCATTTGTTTGCGTGTGCATATGGAGATAGGGCAAGTCAATGTAGTAATCCTAGGAAATTGGGACACATGAAGACAATGATAAGCAAATATAAATATATTTTTTATATTTTTATCATGAATATCGAAAGTTGACAATATGCTAAAATATGGAATTGAAACACTGATCGTTGATAGTTTTGACGGAAATATCACTACCAATGGCAAAAAACTAATATTTCATATATTTGATTGATTTTGCCTAGCAGTAGTTCTTGGTTTTTTGTCTCAACCTTCCGCTTAACATTGAAACGTATCTTAAGTTTGTATTATTTTATGCAATCTACCATTGTTTTATATGATCTTAATGAAAAGTTAAAGACAAACTGCATCTTCGTTGTAAGCAATGCATATGAAAGAAGCATATGCAGAGTATACTGGAAGTATCAAGGAATTGTTCCAGGTTGAAACATAAAATTGAACTCAACAGCACATTCAAAAGTATCTGAGATGTATCCCAGGAGTATCCAAGATGCTTATGCTAGATTCTTTTCCACCATAGGTATTGCTACAATTAAAGTGATTATGCTACCTGGTATGTCACGTGCTCATCTTTTCTTAATGCTATAGTATTAATTCCAGTTTGAGAGTTTTGACCTATGTTAATATTGCTTAAATTTTCCTTGTTATTTTATTGAGTATACACGGTGGATGGTGGACTTTAAGATGTAGCATTGATTTTTTTCCCCTTGATAATTGATTTCTTGTAATGACGAATAACTTTTAGTATTTTCAACTTCAACTGTGTAGACCCATAGGGAGGACTTTGAACCATTTATTGAGGACGAGGTGCCATTTGATGAGTATTGCAAGTCCATGGAAAAAGATGGTACATGGGCAGGGAATCTGGAATTGCAAGCAGCTTCTCTTGTTACCAGAAGAAATATCTGCATTCATCAGGCAAGTACGTCTTGGTGTTATTTATGGTTCACGAGTTATTGAAAGTTAAAGCTACGTACGGCGACATGATAAAAAATTTCATAATTCTTCTTAACCTTTTTCTAGATTATCGAGCCCACTGATGAGGTCAACTAGAATACTTGGGTAGCTCTGCAGTTCTGTTCCTAATCCAAGTTAGAAATTCGTCTTAAATTTTCTCTTCTGATACCTCAAAATGTTTTTACGTTTTCCATATTGGCCATGTTACCTTCACTACTTAGTTTTAATGTGCATGATGATGAACTACTTAGTAGCATCAGAATACTCTTGTTGTCTAGGATATAAGTTCGAGTAGTTTGAAATCAGAATATCAAAATGGGTGACCATGTCATATTTCTGAGCAAGTTAGCAAGATGACGACTGGAAATTTATGAACTAAGATCTGAAACACCAGGATGGCTGTTTGAAATGTAAAGTTGATAAATTTATCTTGTATGTGTTCCCAGGGTCGTAAGAGTTTAAACATGTCTTGTGAATCTACTATGGATGAACATTTGATCGGGATGTGTGAACTTGTCACTTATTAAAGCATATCAGGACACTGTAAACACTCTTGAAACAAATGAATTATTTATTTCAAATGTGACAATGATCATTAATCTTATTTATGCAGGCTAATTCTCCTCGATGGTACATAAGCAATTTCAGTGGTGGTGAAACTACTATGATTCATCTGTATGTATATTAAATTTTCATAAACTAAGCATACCTCTTCTGCTTCTTTGCTTCATGTGTCCCTTACGAGTCTTAATGTAATTCTCTATGCAAATTTATTATCAGCCTTCTACTTCTAGATTTTGTTAATTCTTGGTGAATTTTGGAATACCGAAATCTGGATTATGCGACCGATTAGGCAGGTTTGCTTACTTGCCACCTCCTAGGACTTGCTGCATACTTTCTTGTTCTGAGTTTCATTGGTAGGAAAATAGCACTGAGCTAGTTGGCTGATGTCAAACTGACAAATGATCATAAAATTAGATCTCATGGAGGCTTGTGCTCTATATCCAATAAAGAAAAGACAAACTAAGACGATGCAGGTGATACTAGCTTTTGGCTTGTGCATGGGATATTGGGATGTTCATTGGTCATAGAGTGAAAATTTAAGAATTGAGAATGAGATGCATAAAATACTTTTTTGGTGCCTTTGGATGATTTTTCTTTTTCAAACTTTTCTGTTAAGTAAAAAAATCCATCTTGCAGAAATTCTGTACACAGGTGTTTTTCCCCAAAGAATTTGTGTGAGTTCTGCTGAATGTCCGAGCTGTAAGGCATGGTGTGGTGTGGTGTGGGTTCTAGCTTACTATATTGTTTTTTTTTTTAATGTTCATCCTCATTACATCTTGTGCATATTATTTTCTTCATGTCGCTAATGGTTTTGTATCTTCATTAGAACTCCATCTCTTCACTTCTAGTTTTTGTTTTAGTCACTGAATTGGGTTTTACAGGAGTTATCATGATGGTGAACACTACAATAGCATTAGGTTGGTGGACGATGCTTGTGAAGGACCTTCCAAGCCAATCATTATCAAGGTTCTACCTGCAAAATCTCTCAACATAATTATCTAAACTTGTCAGAAGCAACTTTTTTTTAGATGTCTTGGCTAAAGAGTCTGAGCTGGATGATATCTAATATCAGATTTTATCATAATAGGTTGATGCTAATATATCTGTAGTGGACCATAAAAGGAAAGATGCGAGCAATGGATCAAAAGTATCCTCTCATAGAAATGGCTTTGACTCTGGATCAGTTAAGTTGGTCATGGCTGGAACAGGTTGTGCAAATATGAAAAAAGTTGAGCAGGTATGTAGTTGTTTCTGACATCGATTCTTAGTACGAAAAAACTTTAGTGCTTTTTCAAGTTTTTAAGCTGACATTTTTCATCATGGTGCCAGATTTTACAAGAAGTTAATGGTGATGCTGATGCTGCAATTGAGTTTCTGATTGCAGAGCAACAAGCAGATGTTAATGCTGATGAAAGTGATGGTATTCCCTGTCAGACTATCGGTAATGATCACTTCCACCTTATATCAATTTACAATACTGGTTAACAGTTCCGTTTGACTTCATTTACATTATTATTATTAGTATTAGTAATCACCTTAAATAGTTCACAATTTCGATTTAGTTTTTTATTGTATATGCCTCAGTTTTGCATAAAGTTTTATTTGAGCATTGAAGCTCTGGATTTTTGGTAAACCCCTTTGTATAGTTACGACACTCTGGTTTAATATAGTACTCCGAATTTCGTTCTGCAGGATATGATATTCTAATTTTATGTCCTGAAATGTTAGTTAGTTGTCCTTTTTCGTGATGGTTGTTATCTGCTTTATCTTAAAGACTTAAGATTGACCAGGAGATGATAAAAATGGGAACGATGAAAATGACAACTCTGAGAGGCCAGAGGTCTCAACCGGGGATGCAAAATGTGAACATAATCATTCCAGAGGTGATTTTCAATCAGTTCAGTGTCATAGCAATGATAAGGTACTTTCCGCAAGCATCAAATGCCTAATTATATGTCAAAAATCAACTGGGCTCCACACTCATACATGTCTGCCCTTTTTCAAGGAAGAAGAAACTAATGAGGAATGTTCATGTGGATCAAAGAAGAAGTACAAGGCTTGTTGTGGTTCAACCGTCGGAAAGTCCTCAAAAGCACCTATAATGTATGATTCCTGCATTTCTTTTATATTCGTGTTTGGCTTCTGCTCCTAAAGTAACTTCTAATTGTCTTTGTACTGAAGTTAGCAAGTAAATTGTAATGGTTAAATAAAACTAAATTTATTTAAGGGGACAAGTATATACGAGATTTTTACAAGAGTAATTTGATGCTGGGAGTATTTTGCTCCATATTCAAAACATTGTTTCGTATTCTGAGCCAGAATTGGATGCAAACATGAGATACCCTGAACTTCAGTGTTTCTTTTTGGTGCAGCTCCAGTACGAACAGACGTCCTGCTCGCAAAGGCAAGAAGGAGATAAAACGAACCAAGAAAAAAGAAGCCACTAGAGGAATACAAAAATGTCAATCTGGAATCTTAACAGATGTTGGTGCTCTTTGCATTTGACCAATGATTTAAGGTGATCTCTCTTATGCTAAGAATCATTCATCATACTTTGTACATTTTTGCATGAATTACTAATATTAACTGACAATCATGCTGATTATTGTTGTCACTTATTTTACAGAATATGAATTTGAAGAATAGCTCCTTCAACTTCCTGCATACGCTGAAAGAGTGCCTTAAAATAGAATAAAAAATTAAGATTTTGTTAACATTTTCCAGTACATAGTTCACGCCATTTTCATTCAGGTAATGTATTTGACAAATAGAATTTAGCGCTGATTGCAGATACACATCTTGGAGTGCAGGGGCTTAGCCACTTATTGCTCCTATAATTTTTTTGGTGGTACTTTGACCTTTTGATCCTAAAGGAGTTATATCTCCCAACGTGTTGTCCGGTATTTCAATGCATTGGAGTTATCCTATTCTGTTATTCGAGCGGTTGTAACATACATCCATATGATGAAGAGATTATTCCATACAGGAGTAGGGCGTTTATATGCCAATAGAACAGTTTGGAGACGATAAGTGGCTAAACCTCGACAGTAGGAAAATGTATCTGTGATTAACCCTCGAAGTTGTGTGCTTGCTTTTCCTCTTGCTTACCGTCCCGAGTTTTTCGCTATAGGTACATGATAGTGATGATCGATAGTGATGATCCAATGAGATATTGAGCGACATAACAAGTCGGCAGAGCTTGAATCATGAAGGACGCTGGTCAAGTAACTCTTTATTGGGCTTGGATTTTGGTTCTGGAAGTCGTGCAAATACTGTGTAGTGGTGGGTAACACAGCTTATAGCGAAATCAATGTGTATTTGTTGTTGACAGAGTCCAAGTCATGGTATTTGACGTGCCTTCAAAAAATTTCGTGTTTTGCATGTTAAGGCTCACAGCCGCAAACAAAAATGTAAATTCGTCTATGTAACGAAGATGTAAATTCATCTATGTATTAGAAAATATTCGATGCCTCTTCATGTGTATTCAAGACGAAAAAAATAAAAAACTATTAACAAAGGCATATTTTCCTTCATGCTGACGTTGCTAATTATCTCTTCACACGATAAAATTGGATATCTTTTACTCTGTAACCTTACAAATTGTCTTAGACAAGAAAATAGCTTGCAGACCGAACACAATTCAACAGCTACACACATTTCAGTTACAATAAATTAAACAACAAAATTACACTTCATTAGCATCTGTACATTTTAACATATGTCATCAAACCGTGTTAACCTTTCCTATACGCAGAATAGAATCAATATCTTTGTTATATTTCCATTCAGCACCGCACGTTGACACAACAGAAGTTAGCCCATGTTGGTTACAAACTTGAACCGGTGTTCATTCACAAATTCAGCGAATCAATTTTCAAACAGATGACGATTACTATACATACATTCTGGAAATATGTTTTAGCTTTTTCAGTCCCTGCAGCTAGAATAAATGCTGAAGATGTGGGTTATTTCTCTGCCTGAGCCTCAGGCCAGCATCTGCTTCTTGCTCAAGATGCATCAATCCAGCATCAGCTGGAGGGTTCACGTTGCCTTGTATTTGAGGAATGATTGCTGGTTGTTCATTACGCTTAGCGACCGAGTCCTCGCCAAAATTATGCAATCTCCTGCCAATGGAGTCCTCGCCAAAATTATGCAATCTCCTGCCAATGAGATATCGGTCGTCTCTAATGGAGTTGTGGATATTAGTGAACCAAGCACGGAACCTCTTGGCACAGAAGAACACCACGCTGAAGAGAAGGCAACCGAGCCAAGCAAACCGATAGACCGCAGAGTTAATGATCAATGGATAGCCAAGCACAGGGAAAAGACCTCTGGAAAATACATAGGGAACACAAAGTGCAGTGAGAAGCTTCGAGATGATGGGGATTACAATCTCTTGGAGAACCCAAAGACCCCTTAGACCCGAGAAGCCATCTTGCTTAACTCTCTCGAACTTCGCCCGCCAGCTTTCATCAACCAGCGGTGCCATTTGATCCAGCATAACCTATATAGATTGAACACAAAATGATCCATTAATTCTTAAAACTTTATCTGATTGATTAGAGAAAAATTAAATGTATTTTAGTGTTAACAAAAAGAATAGTCTGTCTATTCTCTGGCATATTTTTAAGGATAGAGCTAACAAACCTTAAAAATGAAATAATAATTGTACTATGTAATGTTTAAATCCTAAAACCAGAATGTCGAAGTCTACAGATTTCATAAAACATATTTTTTGGACCTGCATATCATGATGAACAGTTTGGATTTCAAATTTTAACAGACTTGAGATCACACACTACAGAATTTGATGTCAGCCGCTAAATGCATAGGATAATCAATCAAAGCATTCATTAATTATGTTGATTGCAACCAACAGAGCAATTCAATTCGGATGGTCAACAATACAACAGTTTGGGTTAATAAGCTTAAAACTCCATGTTCAAATAGATTTTCAATAGGATATTATCAACATATATTAAACTTCGATGTCATAAACCATAGAAAACTGAAGGGCTAGGAAAATTACCAGTCTAGTCCAGATCTTGAGGAATATCAAGCCCAGAGCCCAATCCTGATACAAGAGGAACACAGGGCTCTCATCCACTGGTACCCGCATCGGCACAATCACAAGCAACTCAAAGAGGAGGCCAATCAGGACAGGGATGACAAAAATCTACAGTGAACACAAGAATCAGCAAGAACAGAATTTAGTAACTAAGCACCACTTTACAAGTAGGCGATGAAATATTCATGAATGGAGTGAACTTACCCATATAGACAGAAGGGCAGAACTCTTTACAACAATGGCACACCACTTGCAAACCTGAGATACGAGAACACCCGTTCTTCGGGTTTTAATATAGCCCACTGAATACCTAATTCCAGCTAGAAGAGACCAGATGAGGTAACATCCAATGCTGAATGCAAAGAGATCTGGAATGAGGATAATTTAACACGTCAGCCACTGCCTTTTACAAAAAAATCTAACTCCAGTCGTGACTTTATCATGCTTACCGTTACACTTGATACCATGAGTAACTGGGAAGCGAGGAATCGCATTAAACAACGCTCGTCCTAATGAAACAGGAACAACAATCAGAGCAGCATTAAACAGAAGAAGACTCATCCATGCCAAGACCAGCAACAATACAATGCGGAGTACGAACCCATACCTGCAGAAATTACATAAAACAATCATCAGAAAATGGAAAAGATTAAACTGTTTTCTCCAGAAAACTACTAACCAAACAAGAAAAGCCATGTTCCAAGAGTACGATAGCATGTAAATCATAGTCTTCCTTTGTTGATAGCTTTTGTTTAGTTTGTGAGGGATTAGTCAAAGCACAGTCAAATAATTAGTAGTAGGTGGGAGATATTGGCATACGTGTTATCTAGTGCAATACAATGTCATATAACTAATTTTAAGATATTAGCATACATGTCATCTAGTGCATGCAATGTCATATAACAAATTTAAAAGACTATTTAATTTTGCTACTTCTATCTGTTGCAACTGTTTTCTGACCTTCCCGATGTCAAAACATTCTTTAAATGAAAAGAAGCTGCTAAACCCACTCAAGCCCCCATATTCTTGAGAGGCCTTTGCCATTTCAGGCCCTTGTTTTCTTTGTCAATGTTGCACTGGGTTGGAGATGGGACACAAACATTGCAAGAGAGGAACACATGGAAATGCAAAATCTTAGGAAAAAACTATGCACACATCACGGACACATTATAATATAATATTACACGCGCATGCACACAGACTGACACACACATACAAAAATAATTAGAATAAATTATGATACATCCATCCCTCCCTCCCTCCAATCCACCTAACATCGATGGTCAGTCATGTTAGTAGAGAACTAAATTACCTGTGTTTAGTTCAAAACTCCAAACCTCTAAAATCTGACTCACTAGAACACAACAAATAAGAGACCTTTAGGGAATGAAAAGGCTTAAAACATCCTGGATTCCAAAGGCATTATGTGTCTAGAAAAAACAGAGGATCGTTTGGCAGTTCATATGATTCATATGTGACCAGGACAATAGGTAAGCAGCATATGAGCATAAATACATGCATGCAAGCATATTTACATACTATAAGAAGGGTACTGGTCCTCTCAGGATCATACCCACATATATCCACCCAGACATGTGGTTTCCCCTCCTTTAACAGGTTGATTATCAACACCCCACTATGCCGCTGAATCGAACTCAATATACATTACTAATAAATCAAGCATTCCAATCTTACCCACCCATTTCGTATATGATAGAAAATACATTGAAATTTTTTGGCAAGGAACATGAGTACTGCAAGGCTTATCAACGCTACTTACTCTGAACCCACATGATCATCTACATCAGACTCTTCTTCAACATCAGCATTTGCAAAAACTTGATCTCTCCCGTCATTATCAGCAGCAATTATAGCAATTGGAAGCTGCTCTTGCTGCACATGTACCCCTTGATGTGCATCATGATCATGCAATCTGTTTCGCCTTGCTAGCTCCCCATTTTCTCGCCCATTGTTATCATCAGGTCTTGGTAGCAAGAAATCAGTAAGGCCAAGCGCCCAGCCAACAGCAATCAACCATTGACGTAAAACAGCTTTGATTGTCGCTCGGGGCTTGAAATGCTCAATGGCAAATGGGATGCATATTTGGAACAGAAGCACATCAGCCGGGATCTCCGTGAAAGGATCAAAAATTCTGTAATATATTAATATACCACCAGTGTCAGCAGGCATTTAAAACAAAGTGTCTTAGCAACATGAGTAATACATAAGCATAAGAAAAAGGAACTTACGTGATGTCCAAAGGAAAGATGGAAGGGGCCAACCACATAGCAAGCTTGACAGGCAAGAAAACAAGAATCACGATCAAGCTCCCATAAACAGCAACTGACAACAGAACTCGCCGGGCATGCTTGTGGACAGGGTCATCAATCAGATCGCGGAATGGGTTATAATTTGGGTCTGCTGGATCACGGAGAAAGTACAGAACTCCGTTCCGTAAAACCTACCAGAGGTACAAAACTTAAGTTGCTTTAGGAGATACTAAAAAAAAAAAGCGAACAGGGAACATAGTTTCTAAAGAAAATGAAAATACCCCTCGAAGAAGGCTGACAAAAATGCTTATTTGAAGCATGTAAATAATCCCAACAAGCCAATGGATCGAAGAGCTTGCCAATGGTGATAGAGAGAAGAACTCAAGCCTTTTAGCAATTGACGTACCCAGCATCTGTAGTGTGCACACATCCAACCACCATCCGCACATCAATGGGAAGACACCAAGTTCAATCACCAGAAGGAAAGCAACTTTAACCATAGTCATTAGATGTCTCATAGCAGCAAAAAATTGCCTGAGTAGAGATGGAACAGCTTCTGCTAGTGAAGCTATGCCATAAAACCTACCAATAACCAAGCGCTCACCACGCGTATATCGAATCAAAGCAACAAGTGCAAGATAGAAGAAAATCAGACCAAATATAAGCATATATCCAATTGCAAGAGTGGTCACATCAGAAAGGTGTGTGGACCCAGCAACTGCTCCTTTCAATAGATCTGTTGCGACTGATCTACCAACACTGCTTGATACCCCATCAAGACCTGTTGCATTTAATTTTGAGGATCCTGAAAATGTCTCTACAAGCTGCCCAAGGACATCCTCATTGTTCGTTTCTGATGGAAGGTTCTTAACAGCATTAAGGGTATTCTTCAAAGTGATATTCGCCAAGGAAAGCGCTGACTCTGTCAGCGGCATAACCATTGAAAGCAGAGGACTAGATGCGGAAGAAAAGAACCATAAAAGATAATAGAAGACCACCCTTCCCAATGAAAAGGGAATGAAAATGACGACACCCAGAAATATTGCGTTGCTTGCCAAAACCTGCCAGTCAAGGTAGTTAGAAGCTAATGGAACAATGAAAAATGGAAAGTAGAACGGAAGAGCAGTACAAGTAATGCATCAGGTAGGTCTATTGTCTACACATGAATTTGTTGCGGAGATGACTTTTAACAGAGCTGGAAGTAAGAAAAGATTTATGTAATCAGTGTCAACGTTTTAGAATAAACGATTTGTATGTATCAGATGATGTCGTTGTTGTTTAACTACACGAGATTTGAACCATAAAAATGACAAGAGATTGGCTAAAATGTTGTGAGTGCCAAAAAATCAAGGATAATAGTCAATCAATATGCATGAAAAAAAGGTAACAAGAACAGAAGTCACAGAATGCAATCCATGGTGAAACGAACTAAGCATCTGCTTCTTATATAATTCTCAAGAATCCAAAATTTCACTAGTTATGTTTAATAAAAGGATTATTATAGTCAAAAATGTCAAAGGCTAACAAATATTGATATCATTAATCTTATAATATAAACTAGCTCTAGACTCATTACTACTATTAATTTGATTTTATTTTCCTCACTTTGTATAATATACATTGAACAAAATGCCTGTAATGCTCATATCTCTCATTGGTTCACAAACAAGACCAGTAACCAAGGTTGCTGATAGCGGATCGCGGCGCGTCGCGGTGAGGTACCGCTAAGGCTATATCGGGCTATTGCGGCGAAATCGCGGCAAATAGCGCACAGTCAAATAGCGGTTAAATTTAAATATATTTAAATATCCTAAATAATAAGAAAATTCATAAAAAAAATCTAAAAATTCAATTAGTTGTAAATTTCTTGTATTATCAGTAAATAACAATTAGTAGGCTTGTTGTATGAATGAAACTATGAAGAAATTCAAGAAATATAGCATCATAATATGTGTGATAGCGGGTTTAGCCGCTTTTAACCGCGAAAATCCGCTTTAAACCACGAAAATCCGCTTTTAACTGTGAAAACCGCTTTTAACCCGCTAAAATCCGCTTTTACGCGCTATTCGAATGAATAGCGGATTTTCCCGCTTAAGCCATCCGCGAAACCCCTACGCGTAGCGCTGAAGGGCCGCGACCGCTATTCGCGTCGCTATAGCCCCGCTATTGGCCGCTATTTACAACACTGCCAGTAACTAAAAAAAATTTGGATCTGTTATGCATTCCACTTTATGACTCCAGGAAGATAGGCATCTAGTTGTATTAGTATATGATTTTTTAATATTCAAAATGGACCAAGCAATCTTCCTATGGGAACTATTAACTCATAATAACCAAAATTTGGAAGTTTCATCAAGTAAATCATAGATTGCAAACATTAAGGCTCAGAATAACAAAAATAAATCATTAAACCATATAAATTTAAGCAATAAATTATAATACAGAATAACACCATAAATGGTGAACTTACTGTTATCGCATTTTCAACAAGATGGAACACCGGTCCCTGCATGCCAACAAGCTCATCAAAGGGTACATCTTCTGCACCATCAGCATCATCTAAACCGTCAAACATCTGTTCAACATGTGCTTCGAGACGTGCTGCCTGCATTTCCAATCGAGCAGCCACATTTTCTGCATTTCTTCTGATCATCTGACCTGCTCCAGCAATTCCCTGTGCCCCACCAGCATCTTCACCATTCCCTTCACCAGCATTGATCCTATTAAGAGCCCCAGGAAGCCTCCTAACAGCTCGAGCACCATGCCTTTCATGATCTTCATCATTTCTCTCCCCATCATGTCCCCCAAGTTCTCGAAGATGTCTGAAGTAATCTCTCAATGAGGTGGCTCCAAGAAATATAAATACAATGCTGGCAGAGAGAAGGAACCCATGCAAGCAATCCGTAAGGATAAAAGGTGCAGACAGATGACTCAAGAATAACCTTTGGGCTTCACCAAAACTCCTAATAAATGTCAGACGCCATATCCAAAATGTAATGAAGGGTATTATTAGAAGCCAAACAGAGAGAACAAAAGCAAGCCGGACAAAGAACTGAAGCACATGGAATGCTTTCATTGCCATTCCAGTAGCAATTTCCTGGAAAGGGAGCCTTGCAGGAGCATCCTCAGCATAAACGGGAGAGAAGGAAAATGCATGCTTACACACCTGCAGAAAATACCAAATGCATTGAATAAAGACCAAGATATAACAATACATTACTATGAGCAATGAACAATATCCATCCACTACTTCGTATCCAAGTACATCTGATAATTATTACCAACAACCTCAGAAAAAAGAAATCTTAAAACCTCACCATATTAAAATCACTAAAGAAACTCACATAAAACACAAAAGTTCCACCCAAAAAACCCAACTGGGAAAAAATTTGAAGTGTACTAATGGCTTGAATAACAATTTAATGACACCAATAAATTATGGAGAAAGGTGTAAGAATATCCTAGATACCACTGCTGAGTTACATAAGCCTCTTACAACATTATAAATCTTTATTTTCTAGGCTTCTCCAACAAAATCCTAAATTTACCAACTGGCACCATAAATAATTCTAAGAAATACAGCTTTTTCTAACAATAAGAGCCACATACATAACCGAAAATATTCCTCAACCCCACTCCGAAGAAGTAACCCTGCAAATTAAACAGTTCCTGATGGCATGTTGAAATTAAATCTTACTTAGGCCCTAAGTTGCATGGAAGCAGGTACGGGTACCAGTACGGGTGAGGATACAGGTACAGGACATGACAAATTTGTAAAATGCAGGGTACTGGGACACTGCTACATATATATATTAAAATTAATAATTTCACAAAATCATTATTGTTTTTCAATTCATGTGTTATTAGAATTAAATTTCCTATCACGTTTATAAATTTATTTTATTATGTTGATTATTGTACATTAGAAACTGCTCGTTTTTGGACTAGACACCCAAATCACTCTTAAAATCATAGTTTTGAACTTGAGTATGGGATGAAACAAACCTGACCCATATATAACGAGTTTCAAGAAACGACATGAAGTGTATGATATACGTCCAACAAGTGCATGACAAGTGTTTTAAATTAAGACTTATATCATATAACTAATTACATGTCTGAACGAATGTATGCATATATCCTAGGAGTGTCCATGAAATTCGGGTTCGGGCATGTGTCGGGTACGTGTCAGGTACAGGTACGGCTTCATGATAGAAGTACCCAGGTAACATAGCTAGGCCTAATTTCGTCTATCACTAACCACTCCCAACAAAACCCTAACTATGAAATCTACTAACGAAAAAATGACAAAGACATACGCATGTTCCATGAGAAAGAAGGAAACCCTAGAATTCTCAGCTCAAGCTGGCGAACGTTTGCAGCCCCAAATTAAAGGCAAACAGAAACACAACTGTAGCTCCAAAATGACTCCTCCAAGCGAGGAAAAAAAAACCTAAAACCCCAAATTAACGAGGAAAACAAACTGAAGAATCACTCAATCTTTCCACGAAGTTCGCCTACCACTAACAGTTCCCAAAACAACCCTAACTATCGAAATAACCAGTCAATCGCCATTCACTAACAAATCAAACAAACATGATAAATACTTTCACAAAATTCAAGCAGAAAAAAGAGGAAACCCTAGAATTCTGACCTCGCACTGGCGAGCGTTGCTGTGATTGAGCCACTGCAGGAGACAATCCTGATGAACGAACTTGATACTCCCGCTACAAGCGCAGGGGTACCTTAACGGGTTATCGGGCTCAGCAGGGTTCCTGCAGATCCGACACACGTCGCCCTCGTCGTCATCGTCATCGAATCGGATCTGGCTAGGTTCTGGACTCGCCGACGGAGAAGAAGACGGAGGAGGAACGACCGGAGCTTCGTATTGACGGCGATCGGCGATGTCCGCCATCGGACGAGGGCGATCGGAGATCGAAGAGGACGAAATTAGGGAGAAAGAGCGAAAACCGCGGGCTCGAGTCCGCAGCTTTAGAAACCTTCTTGCCTTCACCCGGCTTTTAACGGGTTTGGTTCTCTTCCACCGACTCTAAGGATTTTGTCTATGATGGTTAATACGGGCCGAATAAAATCTACGGCCATCTTGTCGGCCCAATGAGGCCTGCTTTAATTGATACATACACAAACGAATGAATTGGAACAGGATACAATCGTACGAGCGGATTGGGTTTAGCAATTACCACGTCATATTCGCTTTCTAGCGTACGTATGAACATGAACGTTCAAATAAGAAAAACTCGTAATTCATTAATCATCAAAACCTTACAAAGATACAAGTGCAATCCAAGAGAGTCTAGCTAAGTTAGCAAACTGCCTGTAAGAGTACTCGGTCGAAGGTAAGGATCATGTAGAAGTTCCCTCGTCAACACACAAAAAAAACACATCATATAGATACGAAAAGAATACAAAAGGAATATTTGTGTGTATAGGAGGTGGATGTGAGAAAACGACCAATCTAGCTAGTTAGAATTGCTCCTAGCCAGCAGCTCGGGTACGACCGACTACAAAAGTTCAGTTCGTCGGGCTGTAACTTCCGATGTGTAATTTGAGGCAAGGAGGAAGAGTAAAATAGGCGATATCAGGCGCACGATTCGCTACCGCAAAGGAACGCCTTCAAGCATAAAACCAGCCTCGGATGACTTGATCCCGGGGTGAATTCATCGGGGAAATTTTATTCCTCGAGAGAATAATAAAAGATATTTGCAAGGCTGCTATCGGCGTGAATACGCGCAGGCACGACGCGTGTATTCACGTACGCTAAACTTGCTCTAGGACTGCAGAAAAACTATGTTACGCCAAATGCAATTTCCTGCGAGTTAAAAGCTTCGAGATCTCAATCCGCTCTTTCCTCTTTTTACCAAAAGGGGGAAAAAATCTAAAACTCCTCCATGATCATAGAGAAGCCTGGCTAACATACGGCACCAAATTATATGCCTAATTACAACAATTGACGATCTGACGTTATTTGAAAGAATATTTGGGTCTTCATTGTGTAGACCACGCTGGATGTCGTCAAACAACATTCTTAACAGACGGATAACTTGAAATCATGTACCTTTAGAATCTACAAAATCTCGAAGACTAAAACCGAACGCCTAATTAAATACAATTGCGGTCAAATTAAACTAGTATCTTACTGCTACCGATACGCTACGAGAAGACCTATAAGCGATTCAAGTAAGTATTCTAAACATGAGAATCAACCAGAAAGGAAAAGTATACGCACTCTTTAAGGGTTCAATCCAGAAAAGGGACCGCATCCATGAAGCTTGGCCCATTTGCACGAAACTAAGTTATTCAAATTGGACGAAGCACCATCGAACTTCCCTACAATATCCCACAACCAATCCACATAAACCATTAACGGGTCGAGTAAACCTGCACTTATAGTTTCCTTTTCCAGAGGATTTAAAAGATGAAAGCAAGTAATTATTCCTCAAAACAACAGAACAAACTTAAGCAAACAGATCCTGACATAAAAAAAAAAATAACGTCAGTACCAAATCCTACAGAAATCCTCGCGCTTGAGAAACAGTAGAAAAAAATGTCTTCTCAAAGAACCAACTAAAATCAAGAGACAGTGGTGCAACCCTGAAACAATCCAAACACGACAAAGCTAGAATCTTTTCCAAACTTTTCTAAGAGACGATGCCATCATTGAGAGAGAGCGAAGCTAGCTGATCAGAAGGAATGCCCGCCTGCTGCTGCTGAGCAACTGTCCTGAGAACATCCATAGCTTCAGCCACCTTGGCTTTTAGAGCCTCGGGGGACTCGAGCAGATGAAGTACTTCAGTTTGGTCCATCTCTAGAAGCATACCAGTAACTTTTGCTGCAGATTCATGCTCAAGTTGATCGACGAGTGGGTATAGACTCTCACCGAGCATCTGGACATTAAAAAATCTTAATTAGGTTTGCAAGTAGTTAAGTATACGGACAGTGATGGGCCTTGGCCCCACCTCGAAAAATAGAAAAAAATCAAGGGGATATTGGATAATAATTCCATTAGGCCTTGTTTGGATTGAGGACTTATTTCATCCTGGCACTAATTTAACTCATTATAGTCCAGGGATTTAATAATCCAGTAGACTATAGTTACCTAAATTTTTAATACTTTGTTTGGTTCAATTTGTTTAATCTAATACCTACTTATGTTTGGGAACTTGTCATTATAAAGTGGCATAGGAAAATGACATAATAGCAAATGTCCACAATGTCCCTCTGCATAGCCATCATGACTTTAATTAGGTCTAACTGAACCTAGACGGAGTTGGAGGGCATTTTGGACATTACTCAATGTAAAATCACCTGATTGGAAAAATATCATAATATGTACACGTAACATCACCATAACTTCAAGGTTTGGACTTTGTTGTGGTGACAGATTTTTAACAAATCTTTTTCTAATCGTCTTTCACTAAGTGATGAGGATTTAATTTCTCACAAGAATAAAATAAATAAGGTAATTAACATTTGGGTTTTTAATTTATTGAACCATGTATCCAGGTCCTTGCTTCATTTCTGATGATGTACATTTATAACGGAAATTAGAGTCCCTGCAGTGATTTCTTTAGAAATCAAGACTGCTATCATCTTTCCTGTAAAGAGACGAGGCCTAACGCTGCAACCCCTCCGTTTGTGGGGAAAACATAAGAATACATGATGGATAACTAATTTTTGTACTTAATGGAATATGCAATCTCTTCTTACTTTTTTTCATCGTATTTACACTATTGTATACATGTAGCACTATTGCATATATGCAGCTCCAGGTGAGAAACAGTCTTCATTTTTCGATCCTTCCAGTTTTTATATCATGAATGTTACACCAATGACTAAAGGAGATCAACTAATGCTGCTCCTCAGCCATTATATAAGAGTAGAAATAAAGTAAGTTCATAAAAATGTCATCAAAGCTAGTTAACTCAACCACCTGAGAGCTAAGTTCATAAAAATGCCATCAAAGCTAGTTAACTCAATTACCTGAGAGCCACTATGGACAAACAAGGTAAAAGGCAATCTTTTTGGGTTAATCCCAAATGAAGAATAGTCCTCAGACTAAAATAAGAGTAGAAATAAAGTAAGTTCATAAAAATGTCATCAAAGCTAGTTAACTCAACTACCTGAGAGCTAAGTTCATAAAAATGCCATCAAAGCTAGTTAACTCAATTACCTGAGAGCCACTATGGACTAACAAGGTAAAAGGCGATCTTTTTGGGTTAATCCCAAATGAAGTATAGTCCTCAGACTACAATAACACCCTCCCTCCATTGTTCAGTCCGGAATCTGTGGACTATTTCATTTAAACGGATTAAGTAGTCCAATTTAACACCCTCCCTTTATTTTAACGGATAAAGGGTTAATACCTCAAAATAATACCCCATCCAAACATGGCCGAAGATCACTTCCTCAAAATTACTCTCTAATGAAGGAGAATCACCAACATTGGACATTGAGGTTTTTTTTATAAGGAATGGGGAATTGGAGTTGACTTGGATTCTCTGGACTTGGGTTCAGAGAAACTAAAGAAATAAACACTCCCTTATTTTTGGGATTTTGATCCATTTTTCATCTTTTGAAGAGTACGGCTGTTTGGTGCTTTGGGATAATAATGTCTGGTGTTTTGTGGATACAAATGAGCACCAACCACTCACTGGACATTTGGAAATCTTAGGTTTTATTAGAGTTATTTAGATATTAGCCCCCCAAATCTTCAATAATCCCATATTAGTCCCTCAAATCTTAGGGATTGCTCATTAGTCCCCCAAATCCTAAGATGGCTTGCAATTTGGTTCCTCAATCTTTTATTACAATGAAAATCATAGCCATATATAATAATAATGGACTCTTATCTCTACTAAACTTTAAAAATTCAAAACTAGAATTTAAAACCAAACCAATATTTATCTTATTGCAATTCAAAATTGAAAATAACTCTATACTAGAGGATGTAGACAGCTCAATCTAAAAAGCTCAATCTCATCAAATATCCTATCTAAAATCATAAAACAGTTTCAAGAAATGAAGTCAAGCAAAATATCAATGGAAACACTATATTCTAATTTAAAGTTAGATTTTGAAAGTCTTGTTATGTAGTAATGTTTAGAAACCTAAAAAAAATTATATGTTATTGCATTTGGATATTAAATTTTTGGACCCCCTTGCCGAAATTCTTGGCTCTGCCACTGTACACGGAACAACCAATATTGTATTCATGAAAGAAAGAAAGAAAGAAGAAAGTTAGGTTGGAGTCAAATCAAGTAGAATAAGCAGTTTCTGCAGTTAAGGGCGAGTTATATACTTGAACGGATATTTCGTTATAATTCAGATTGAACCTTAATGTGACACAAATCTGTACTCAGAACAACCTTAAGTTTCAATTCATCCATCATAATTTTTTTGTATCATTTTGAGATCATTTTTGAAATACAACACCAAGATATTCGGTTAGCACAAGGGCAGCCATGCGAGTAACCACAATGTATAAGAACACTCACATCGTAGGTAGAAAAATCATCCATGCAGGTTAATAGAAATAATTATCCGCCTTAAAACAAACATCACGCACAGTAGGCAGTTTGTCCTGACTCATATGTGATTAGATAAGGCCGACTATATCTAACTCTAGAGGTTGTGTGTAAAAAAGCAAGCACACATGTCGAAATGCAGGATAATAGATTAATAGATAATCTACGAAGGAGATCAGGGTCACCTGAGATTAATATTAAACAGGTTTAACTTTATGATCATAGGACCCACAAACACTTCCTGATAATCATAATACAAATATCAAAACTTTTACATTCTAAATGGAAAAGATGCACATACCGTCCTTTGCTGCTCAGGGCTTGCATTGGCCAGTGCTGAAGTCAATGCCCCAATAGGAAGAGGTTGTGGCATGCCAGAATCCCGAGGCAAAGCACCCATGTCATAGGGGACAGAAAGCATCCCTCCAGCAACACCAGGCATCTGATCAGGCACATTACGCCCAGTAGGATACCGGTAGAAGCGACCACGAGGAAGCCCCTACGATATTTAAATAAATCATAATTACAAACATTTTCTCCAGTTTAAGTAAACAACAAAACAAAAAATAGAATAGGGTTAATTGCAGATAAACCCTTCTGGTACTATTATGGTGTATTGTAGGCACTTACCCTGTAAGTTTTTTTAATATTTATACTCCCGGAATATCAGACAAATATGTTACTTCTTTGTCCTCAATTCAGAGGATAATATAGTAGCGGTTAACTGAGAGGCAAAAGAAAACTTATCATCGTTGTAAGAGCTAATAAAATAGTTTAGACTTTAGAGGGTATAAGTGGCAACGCCTTCATAATACAGGGGTGTATTTCAAGTTAAACCTTCAAACTATTGAATGATACTGATGGTGCTTACCTGCTGCTGGAGCATTGGTACTGGATGTTGTGCCTGTTGAGCAGGACCTCCACCAGGACGCCTTACTCCAGGACGTTGGGGTTGCTGACCTTGTGGAATCATGGGCATAAAGAAATTGGGCATGGGGCCACCACCAGGCCTTATTCCAGGAACAAGTTGCTGCTGATAACCAAATCCAGGCTGCAAAAGTAGAAAAAAAATTACGAACTACCACGGTATGCGACAACACTGCAAAAGTAGCAAGAAAAAAAATTACCTGAGGAATGAGTGCTGGAGGGGCTTGACCATAAAATAGTTGTTGCGCAAGTCCAGGAGCACCAGGAGGATACATTGGCATGCGAGGACCCATGTTAGGGGGCATGGCTATTGGACGCATTTGGGAAAATTGAGCCTAAAACAAAAAATTTAAGTATAAGAAGTGTCCCAGAAAGATTAAATTCTATGCAAGAACAGAACAATTGAAAATATGCGAGAAATAAGAAGTTCTAAATGCAAGAAATACGAAGTTCAAAAATTCAAGTACAAGGGTAAATTACACAATTACCATGAACTTTCCCCTCTCCCACTTAGCTACCTTAAAAAAATTACTGTAAACTACGTACTTCCTAATTTTGCAGAAAACTAACAAACGGCCTTAGCAGAAGGGATTAACTTATTTTTTCGCCTTCCTTTCTTGAACTTCATATATAAGGCATTGATGTAAATCACATGATATGTCAATAGAAATTTCATCCAGAAATTATCAAGTGTTAATCACATGAAAAGTTTATTAAAAGCACCACAGCAGATGTCAGTATCTCAGCCAAAATTTATGGTAGTGTTCTGTTATTTAGGAAGTTTTGCTATAGTTTAGTGCATTGAACAAAAATTCATGATAGTCTGTAATATAATGTGAAGCGCCAATCATCTTTTTATATAAACCATTGAACTCTCCTGCCTCCCTCCCTATATCCACCTCTAACTTTAATTAATCAAATCAACGTAACCAAGGGTGTATAAGTGATATGAATCAAGGAGTAGAAAAAACCATTGTGGGAAATTTTGGGATAAGCACTTATCTAGAGTTGTAGAATAAATTTGAAAAGAGAATATATTTAGGAGTGTATACGAAGACGAAAAAAACCCAAAATAAAATGGTCTGAAAAAACTGGTTGAAATCCTTAAAAAGCGTATTTACATAATTTACCAAACTAAAGAAACAGTTACACATCTTTGTCATTTTAATATTGACACAAAATGACAAAACATTTAGACCTTGCCTAAGGGACAACCTTACACACCTACACATATCCTACAATAAAATTTATTTCCATGGAACAGTGCTAACATGAAAATGATACTAACATGAGAAGATAACAGATTATCATCATAACCTAGCTTGTTGATTATGGGATGACATAACTTGTTATCAATTACAGAAAGGCTTTATATAACAAAAGGGGAAAAAGGGGAAAACAAATACCTGTAGCCTTGCTTTTCTGTCTTCTTTACGTTGTGCTATTGCAACATAAAGAGGTTTACAACCAACCATTTTCCCGTTCATCTCCGCTAACTACAAACAAAAACAAAAGGATGAGGGAGAAGAATCATGGTGAAATTCTGAAGAACATCAATACACAAAATATGGCAACTTACAGCACGAGACGCGTCTTCAGGAGATGAGAAGGCCACAAACCCAGACCCTCTACTGATACCATTGGGATCTCGCATAACCTGGAAAAAAACAAGTTCAAGCAACCTGAGCAACCAAATGCGATTATGCAAGCACCATGAATAGGACAAGTATAGCAGCTGCTCATATCACCTTGCAGGATTTGATTGTCCCAAACTCAGCAAACAGTTCCCTAAGTTGGTCATCCCCAATACTATCATCCAAGTTCTTCAAGTATAAATTAACCCCTTGATACTTGTCAGCTGCCTCCTTAACACTCTGATCAAATCTCCCTTTCAGTTCCATCTCTCTTTCAGATTTCTTCTGTGCTTTCCCAACAAACCACTCCTTATCACCAAATTTCTTCCCGTTAAGTTCATCAACTGCTCGAGCAGCATCGTCTGGGTTTTCAAAATTAACAAACCCAAAACATTTGGATTTTCCATCACCTTCCATCATTACAACAGAACTAGTAATGGTTCCGTATTCGCCAAAAATTTTGTCAAGCTCTTCCTTGGTTGTAGTCTCCGACAGATTCTTTACAAATACATTACAAAATTTTGTCTTGTTTACAGCATTTTCCCTTTCCTGCTTACGTAGAAAAGGACCAACATAGACAACTTTCCCATTCAGACACATGCCGTTTAGCTTATCTATAGCATTTTGTGCAGCCTCATCTTGTTCAAACTGAACAAATCCATAGCCTTTTGACTGGCCAGATGGCTCCGTGGCAACTTTGCAAGAAAGAATGTTGCCAAATATAGAAAAAGTGTCAAGCAGAGCTTTGTGGTCTATTGACTTGTCCAAATTCTGCCAAAAATATTATGATAGTATTTTAGCATGGAGAAGACTTAAAGCAGCATACGTAAACAAAAAAGCGATGACGTATAGTAAAGAATGAATCAAGAAGAGGAATATATTTTTATAATAGCTGCCCCACTCTTTCGTGTGCTAGGGTCGCGGTTGGAATACATTATTCTGATAGGCTTTCCATTGAGAGGAGTAAAGTTCAGCACATCCAATGCCCTTGCCGCTGTCAATAACATTTCATATAGAGTAAGATGCAAAACAAGAAGCTAAAAACTTCAAAGATCTCAATTACGGTGCAAGATATTGTTTTATTGCCTATCTGAGAATTCTGGTGCTTTCGTTAGATAACCACGTCTCCCAACAACAAAACATATCAAACTACTTCAATTAGTCCATGCAATAAGGGGACAAATTTTCAAAACCAACCCATTTGAGATTTTATTCTCAAAAAACGACCCGTTTGACATTTATTTAGAGAAACCGACCTGGTTTCAGCACTGTAGCTGAAACCAGGTCGGTTTTTCTAAAAAAGTTTACGAAACTTCACGGGAGTTCAACTCCCGTGAAGTTTTTTCTCATAACAAAACTTCACGGGAGTTGAACTCCCGTGAAGTTTCGTAAACTTTTTTAGAAAAACCGACCTGGTTTCAGCTACAGTGCTGAAACCAGGTCGGTTTCTCTAAATAAATGTCAAACGGGTCGTTTTTTGCAATTAGTTTCTCAAATAGGTTGGTTTTGAAAATTTGTCCTGCAATAAGGCCACTAAATATTTAAGAAACTAAGATGGCAGTCGGCATGAAGAAAACTATCTTCCCTCAAACTAGCTAGAACGCAAAGATGGTTTGAAAAAGTTACTAAGGCCTCTAAAAGATAATTTCTTCACTTCATTTTTCTACCACTAAAGTCTTCCATTATGAAACCTTCCGATTAACTTCTTTTACTATCATAACAAATGGAAAACACTTATTTCCAAATTGCCAGCGAGCAAGTGAGCAAGTTCAAATAGCTGATTTGAAAAAAATAATAATACCAGAATCAAGTAACCAGTAAAATAGGAACATTTAACTTCATAATTACATTTATGTTCAACGCCTAAATCATGCAGATGCTTTAAAAATTATTGTGAGAGCACTTTACTCCCACAGCGATTATGCAATCAAAATAATATACATTGGGTGACCATAACATACAGAGGATCCCCATTTTTTAGAAAGCAAAACCGTTTGAAAACCTCAGCTAATATATGAGTAGTAACTAATAACCAGTCAAGCCATGCACTTCAACAAAACAAATATACACCCATAAATAAAAGGATTCTTATTGTTTACTAAAAACAGTTTTATACTGATTTATTTTTAAACCACTCACCTCCCGAAGTCAATCTGCAACCCAAAATACCCATGCAGAGTTATTTTTAGACCAAATTCACGTTTCAGACGCCATACTGATGTCTAAGTTGCTAGCTATATTTGGGTCTAAGCTGCTACATTTGATGCCTCAGGAGATATATCTGGGTTTAAAAATAATCTAGCATGGTTGTTAACAGGAATATAGCAAAACCTACAAATAATTCTAACTAAAGCTGAAAACTCTCAAACCGAAGAAACATTCCAAGCATTAAAAATGTAGTAAATCAAAAAAAATCAAAAAAATCAAAAAGAATAAAAAAAGAAAGTCCCACAACTCACCATCCATCGGATTGCTGTAATTAACATAAGCGTAACCAAGCGACAGTCGGCTCGTAATGTCTCTACAAACCCTAACCGACACAACCTGCCCAATTTGGCTGAACATATCGTACAACTGCGCATCCGTCACGTTCTGCTCCAGATCCCCAACGTACAGTGACGTCGACGGGAACTGGTTC